ATAAAATTAATAAAAGTAAAAGGTTTGTCATTTAGCTGATTGATGTTATCCTCAGCATACCGACTCCAGAGTTTTATTTGTAGAGGGATCACTCCGTGCACTTCTCAAGGGCATCAACAATTGACTTGGTCTCTCTGTCTTTCTGTCTCTTTGTCTATCTGTCACTCTTTCTATCTATCTATCTATCTATCTAGCTATCTATATATATATATATATATATATATATATATGGGGGGATGAGGTAGGAGTTTCGACATATGAGGATTCAACAGAGTATTAAGCACTTGATGACCTACTTGATTCGCCTTCTATGACATTTTAAAATCAACTTCAGGCCTATGTTTGTAAAATATCTCTGGAATATATATTGGATTGTATATTTAACATCGTAAACTTAACTCAAAAACGAAGTATTTTCGAACATATGTTTTGATGTGAGGATCCCGCCCCAAAATTTAAAAAAAAAAAATACTTTTTTTATATATATATATATATATATATATATATATATATATATATATATATATATATATAATCAGCTGTGACTCTAGGTCATCTGTTTTTCAGGCTCATTACAATCTTTAACAAAATATATTATTGATATAACTTAATAGTAAAATAATTCCTTTACTTTAACTAAAATATATCATTTTTAAAAATCTCTTTTCTCACATGAGATTAAAAATAAACATTTTTGTATTTTAATATTTATTGTAATAATTTTATGAAACTTTTTCTAGGCGTGAAAGAAAAAAGAGTGAAGACAGAGCCAGATATGTATTTTTTAAAAATAAAGTGTGTATCTATCTCGAGTGTGCGTTTGTATATGTGTCTATGCTTTAGTGTGGTTATGTATCTCTATGTTTGTGTGTTTATGTATCTCTCTGTCTGTGAATTTTATTGCATGTTTCTGATCAGTATTACTGACTGATATCATATTTCTACAACACTACCCCAGTCACTCTCCTCACCTCAGCCCTCTAATAAACGAATTAAGGCTGCGACTTTATTCGATTTTCGCTGAATGTAAAGTCCAACCCTTACCTCACAGTTGAGGGGGGGGGGCAAAACGTTAGTGTCAGAGCTATGCTGTCCGGAACTTCGTTCCTGGTAGGGCCACCCAAGGCGGACAGGTCTGACACACACGCCGGCTAACAAGGGCTCTGGTGAAAATCCAAGGAGCGTCTGCATCGGCAACCGGCGGCTTCTGGTCGTTCCTGTCTCTGCGTCTGTGGGAACCTCGCGGCAAGCAAGAACATTATCCGAGTAGGCCTGGGTACCCTACTTCTGTAATTTATCCCAAGAATCTTCTTCTCACAGCAGTAAGAAGCCGGCTCAATCCGCCCAGGGTGAATGCTGCATCAAGTCAAGAAGAAGAAGTCAAGAATGTAAAGTCGGTCTAAATTTAATTTGCTCTTTCTCAGTTGATGCATTCCACTAAAAACCTTATACTGTACGGAAAAAAAGTATTTAAATGTGGCATTTGAAATAAAAAAAGTTAAAGTAAAACAGTGTTATTTGATAAATACGTCATACCATTCATTATATATTTTTAAAAGATTATTTATAAGATGTAAGCAAGAAATACGTTGTCTATTAAGTATGTCTCCAGGCTCAGACCTACTCAGTCCGACATTAATTTTAGTTGATTATTGTTTACTTAATTTTTTTCTTTCTTCTTTATTTCTTCTTTATTATGAACAATATCAACATTTTGAGGCATGTCGTTAAAAAAAAATTAAATTTAGATGCACATGAAGTCAAGAATGAAAACGAGGCACTGATGTAAACGATTATTATTGCAATATTTTGTTAATATTGTTAGACTAAAATATTTCACAAAGCAATGAGTAATTTTCACGGATAATTTATAGCCAGGGAACTCGCTCGGATCTTATTCAATCTTTAATTTAAGAATTAAGTTTCATGAGAAATCCAAATAGGAAAAACTGTAATGTTTCGCTGGTAATTCAAGTATAATTAATTTTTATTAGTTATATATTATATTTCATCAATGTCCTTCCTGATTCGTTTTTCGCTTTGACTAATTTCTTTCTTTCTTTTACATACTTATTCTTTAACCTTTCTTTACTATTGTCTTTCTTTCCTTTACATCTCGTTATATTTTCTTTCTCTATCAACCATTTTTCATTCCCTTTTTACTCAATTCCACCTTCCTTCTCTCCATTCACCCCCCACCCACGAAAAGTAATAAAATCATTTAACTTCTTAAATGACTTTGTTTAAACTTACATTTCGCTCCCTCTCTCACGTCTTTCTTCCTCCTTCTTTCCTCCATGTAATTCTCCTCAAAAACAATCATTGTTATCTTTCCTTGCCTTTTCGATTCTTCTTCTTATTATTATTATTATTATTCTATTTTCATATTAACTTTACGCTTTCTATATTCCTTCTCTACTCCTCCAGCTCCTCTTCATCTGTTCTCCTGCCTTTCTCCTTCCTCTTTTCCGTTTTTATCTTTATTGCTATCTCATTTATCTCCTCCTCTTGCTCCTTCTCCTCTTCCTGCTCCTTCACCCCCTACTCCTTCTCCTCCTCCCGCTTCTTCTCTTCCTGGAAAGACGATATCTGTCTTAATGCTACGTCAGTAGTGTGGAGCATTGGGACATAATTAATACTATAGGGCTTTCAAAAACACAATAATCTCTATCTATAAAAGGCAGGATGTGTGTGTGTGTCCGTGTGTATGTGTAACGAATGCACGGCCGCAGTTTTCGGCGGATTTGCACCAAAATTTACATGCACATGCTCCAAGTTAGCGGGGAAGGTCAAGACCGACTTTGCATTTCCCAACTCCCATCGATAGTGAAAATAATCGATTTTTTTCATGCTTCTACGGAAGTTTTCATGTAGTGTGCGACCATTTTCTACTGGCCAGAGAGAGATCCTATAGCTAGGCAGGAAGATTCTATTGGCCAGCGTGAGAGCAAACAACCGATTGACACGAATGTTAACTATCATGCTAGCATGAAAAAAAATCGATAGCTGCAATCGTCACAAGTGGAAGAAATTTAAATCTGCATGACACTTTACTCCAATTGGCTCACTCGCTTACTTAAACTCAACGTTGATTCTCATTCCACAGAACTGGGTTGGGTGTGAAAAAGTATTTGTTGTTAACATTCTTTTTTCATTCGGTTTTTCCAGTTATGAGTCCTTTTTTAAAGCTGATCGTTTTGTGTTCATTTTGTTTAGTTCTTTTTTCGTAACGGATTTAATGTTTAGGATAGAGCTTACAAAAAATTCGTAGTGTGAGATAGGCAAGAAGTAAGGTATGTAGCAACATCAGCACGGCAAAGGGCACTCCTTTAAAGGCAAGGAAGGACAAAAATATTTTAAGCCAAGTGATAGCGGTTGCTGTATGAGTCGTACGATTTTTGAATCAAGCACGGGCAACGGCGGGCCATGCTGCTAGTTAAATAATATAGAGTAATAGCTCTATAAGGGCTTTATATATATATATATATATATATATATAAATATATATATATATATATATATATATATATATATAAAATCAATAGTTGTAACCTAATAATATATATATATATATATATATATCAATAGCTGCAAAGACTTGTTTTCAAGTATTTAAAACCCTCCTTATTGAAACAGAAAGATTGGCTGATAGGTCTCAATGCACCTAGCCTGTGACCATATATATATTATATTGTACTAATCTGGAAGGTATCTTCATGAATATCTTCAGAACGATCAAGCTGAGATCGAGTTTAATTGCTCTACCGATTGAAGGAAGGGCTGAAAGAAAAACAGCGAGCAAAAGTGCAGAAAGTGGTCCCCTCACCACAGGACCATGCGCCTGCCACAAAACAATAGGAGTAGATATGTTTGCCTTTCGTTGAGTTACCACTCCTCCCCGATCTTTTGAATAGAGTAGGGATTTATTCCTTGTTTCCTGTTTAGGATTGGGTTTCCGGTTCTTTCTAATGTCTACTTCAACTCTATACATCTACTCTGAAATTTATTTTCAATTTATTTACATTTTTCCCTCTACAAGAGTAGATATGTTTCTCCTATCGTCCGCTTCACACTCATCCCTGACCTTTTGAAAAGAAATAGAGGTTTATCCCTTTTTTTCCTGTTTAGGTTTGGGTTTCAGGTTATTTCTTAAGGTCTTCTTTCGCTTCCACTTCCGATGGCCACTTGCGTCTTAGTGCCATAATCACCTTTGTTGGAGTGATGCCTCTACCTCGAGGGTCTCTTAGGCCTTTTAGGATGTGAAAATCATTGTAAAAAGAGGAGGGCAAGCGATGGATAATTTAATACCCCGTTATTCGTGTGGAGCAATATTAATATTGTGGTGTTTCCAAAAACCTCTTTAAAATATTATATATATATATTTAATATTATATTATCATTTATATATATATATATATATATATATATATATATATATATATATGAAGAAATATAGCCATAAGATGTGGTATATTTATGAGATAAAGTGCTTAATATCAGAGATAGAGCGTGTGTAAATATAAAAGTGAACATAGAAGTCAACACTTAGAGATACAGTCTGTTTCATGCTATATGCAATCGTCAGGCCGACGATTGCATATAGCATGAAACAGACTGTCGCATGAAACAGACTTCTATGTTCACTTTATATATATATATATATATATATATATATATATATATATATATATATATATATAGTTGTAAGGCTTTTGTATATTCTCTAAGTGTTTACAGGCCTTACTCTGTAGGTTCGAATGTAATTTGCCTGTGATTTTGATTAGTCTCCGTTGTACTACTCTGGGAATTATAATAGTATTACTAGTTTGACTCCATTGCAGTCGTATTAGTAATAGTAGTTAGTACTAGTAGTGCTATAACTGAGTGATGGTTTTAATGCGTATTTTATTATATAACTAATTTATGTTAAAATTTCTTCAATATCTTTTTAATAGTTTCCTTCTCTGTTATTTATTTACATTTTTAACTTTTCTTTACAGACGCCATTTTCTTCTTTACTTCTCAATATATCTCCTTTCTCTCTCCGACATTTTCCTTTCCCCTTTTACTTAAGTTTTCTTTCCTTTTTTCCATTCTTCCTCCACGAAGAAATCGTTTTGCCTCATCAAGTGATCTACTGAATCATCAGCCATTCATTGATCAATCCATCGATCTTTCAATCGCTCACAGTGAATCGGTGTGAAGACAGCCAAAGCAAGAATAAATGTGTAAGTGAAATACGCCAGCGACTCCATTTTCCACGGTGGTGCTCCGAAGTCGTCACCATTCTTTTCAAACAAACCTGAGTGCATTTTGTACGCCAAGCGGGTAGTAATGTATAGAGAAAGTTCGAATGTGTTTAACAAGAATCTGATACCACTTAGAGAGTATGATAAAAGGGATTTAGTTGTAACTGATGGCGACAACCGGTGTGTGAATGAAGAAGTTGAACAGACGAAGAATATTACAGAGAAAAAGAAAAAAAAGAGAAAGGGAATGAAGAAGAAGTGTTTGAAGCTATAAGAAAAATGGTAAATTGGTTAAGAGAAAATTAGTGAATGGTTAGATTCGAAAAGAAGGAAGTAAAAACAAAAAAAAAAAAAATTGGACCTTTAAGAACAATTCAGAAAATGTTACGAAATTGGACAGAGCATTTAGGATTATGTAACGTGATTGAGATGAACTCACATGGGTCGACCTAAATCAAAGTCATAGTTGGGTTACGTACGTATTTCATATTGGGGCCAGAGGTTGGAGTTCAAGCCCAGGGAGAAAATAAGGAGAGTGAAAATAGAAATGAATCAAAGAAAGAAAGAAGAGGAAGGCGGAGTGAATAAAAGAAGAAAAAATAGCGTAAGAAATAGAAAGGAATGACAGACAGAAGAAAAAAAGAAATATCGCAGAAGAAAAGAAAAGAAAAGAACGGAGAAAAAGAACGAAATCCAAAAAATAGGACGAGAAAAAAAAAGAAACGAAAGTCGGGAGATGATAGAAATAAAGAAGAATAACAAAGAAAAAGGAAATGAGGTAGAAGGAAAACGAATATAGGATAAGAAAGAAAGAAATGGAAGGAGGGAAAGATGGAAAGCAAATATAATTGAAGAAAGAAAGAAAGAAAGAAAGAAAGAAAGAAAGAAAGAAAGAAAGAAAGAATGGAATGGAAAAGAATAGGGACGAGAGAAAATAGAAAAATGAAAATAGTATAAGAAAGAAAAAACAAAGAAAGGAGGAAAGATGGAAAGTAAATATAATTGAAGAAAAAAAGAAAGAACGAACGAACGAACGAAAGAAAGAAAGAAAGAAAGAAAGAAAGAAAGAAAGAAAGAAAGAAAGAATTCTATGGAAAAGAATAGGGACGGGAGAAAAAAGAAAAATGAAAATAAAATAAGAAAGAAAGGAGAAAAAGGAGGAAGCAAAAATAGGATGAAAAAAGAAAGAAGGAACGAAAGAAAGAAAGAAAGAAAGAAAGAAAGAATTCTATGGAAAAGAATAGGGACGGGAGAAAAAAGAAAAATGAAAATAAAATAAGAAAGAAAGGAGAAAAAGGAGGAAGCAAAAATAGGATGAAAAAAAGAAAGAAAGAAGGAACGAAAGAAAGAAAGAAAGAAAGAAAGAAAGAAAGAAAGAAAGAAAGAAAGAATGGTATGGAAAAGAATAGGGACGAGAGAGAGTAGAAAAATGAAAATAGTATAAGAAAGAAAAAACAAAGAAAGGAAAGGAGGAAAGCAATAAATAGAATAAGAAAGAAAGAAAGAAAGAAAGAAAAATAAAGAAAGAAAGAAAGAAAGAAAGAAAGAAAGAAAGAAAGAAAGAAAGAAAGAAAGAAAGAAAAAATAAATAAAGAAAGAAAGTAAGAAAGACAGAAAGAAAGAAAAGGTAAGCGGGATAGAATTAAATAAAAATAGCATCTGAAAGAAAGAGAAAGAAAAGATAGAAGGAAAAAGAATATAGGATAGGATAAGAAAGAAAGACAAAAAGAAAAAGAAAGAAAACGAAAATAGGACGAGAAATAATAAAGGGAAAAGCGGAAGAAGAAAGAAACAAAGAAATGAAAGAGAAAGAAAACTCAGAGATCAAAAAATAATACTCAGAAATCTTCCAATGGCAATTACGAAAAGACTATGATGGATCGTCATCTGTTGATTTCTCAATAATCAGCACTTGCTTCTTTCCAATCCGAAATAGCTGTGCGTTTGACGGCGGTAAAGGGCACAATACATTTTGGTCACGAGCCAGGGAAAGACGAAAGCGAGATCTTAAATCCATTCAGATATTTGCTGATATTAATGTGTCATTTATTGGTGGCAGCCGGTGGAGCTCGGCGCCAATCTCGCTAAACTTTATGAAGTCAACTTGGAGGTTTCTCAATGCTGCACGTGAATGAGGTTTGCGTACAAAATGACAATTATGGAAAGCAAATTATCAATCATATTCGCCAGGCTGAATCTGTCCTGTTTGGATTTGACTGTACGATTGTAATTATATAGCTTGTGCTTTCTCAGTAATAGCATCGTATTGATCTGCTAGCGAAACGAAAGCCTGTATTTATAGAACAGTAACGTGTGCCTTCGTCTGTTCAAATGTCATCACTGACCTTCAGTTATGGCTACATACTCAAACACCCACTACTGAAATTTATCCGCATCGAGGTTGCTTCTCCGTCAAATAATAGCTCTTACCTCACTGTTTCAAGGTTTGAGCATAATTATGAATAGCTATTTAGCATCTCTTCATAAGGTAACTAGATTTATGTTTTAGTAGTTTGGCTTTGAATATGACTGCCATGACCAAACCAATGCATTAAAAATTACACTGGTAATTTGGAAAAGATTTCTTTCTTTTTAACTTATAAAACTAGCCACATGAGTGGATTCTTTCTCATTGTTTTTTAATGCTACACCTCTTCAGATCATAGCTCTTCACAGCCTCCGCTAATATATGTGAATTGTCATGACTTCTTAGGAAGAATAGCGAATTACTTTCCCGTTGCCTTCTTAGAGGTTAGTAATTCAAAGTAAACTTTCTCCTAGACTGGCTTCAACCTAAGACTAGAGAAGAATTATTTTATCATGCTATTTTTTTATGACTGCAAAAGAATGGGCAGAATTTAGAAGGAAGCAGAAACCCGATCCTAAACAGAAAACAAAGGATAACATTCTAATCCTGTACAAAAGATCAGGGAGGATTGTGAACACTTAGCTGCTGGCGTGTGGAAGAGAGCTGAACACATATTTTATCAAGGACAATAGTACAAAAATGAACGCACCAGACTAGGCCATAATCTGACCCCGGTTCCCCGAAGCCACTTCCCGTGTATATAACCGTGACGTTACCTACATATATGCCTTAACAAAAATCAATCTTAAGGATTTGCTCTCAATCATCAATTTTACATACAAGCATCCCGACTAAGGTCACTGCCCCACTGCCTTAACGTTGCTTCCCTCTGTCGTTTCAATGAATAATTCCATGGCAAGTATTCTCATGACACTTCCTCTTTGGTATCTCGATTTCACGCATTTAAGTATCAGAAAATGCGACACTGAAATCCTATCGTAAATCTATATAAAAATCTGGGCCAAATAGGTTGGCTTCTTCTCGAGCAACCTTTGTAACTGCTCTTATTCGAGTCGTTCCTTTAGTCTTACCATTCAGAAGGTGCTACACTGAAATCCGAAGGCACATAGGTATAGCCCAAAAAAAAGCAAAACCAAAAGTTGAGCAGAGTATTAACAGACAAAAAAATCTTTGTTAGAAACAAATAAAAGAGTACTGAACTGTTACGTGATGTCTCTCCTCCTATTTGGCAGTGAATGCTGGAAAATCTCCTCAAAGATGAAGAAGAAACTTGAGGCAACAGAAATAAAGTTTTACAGAATGATATTGAAGATACCATGGTCGAATATGTGAGCAACGCCGAGGATTTAGAGAAAGTAGAAACAAAAAAGGAAACTTATACATAACACCAAGAAGAGACAGTCGAAATTTCTGGGGCATGTGATGAGGAAGGAGGGCTTTGAAGATCTGATACTCACAGCACAGATAGAGGGAAAGAATGACAGGAAAACAGCGCGTAACATTATATATATATATATATATATATATATATATATATATATATATATATATATATATATATATATATATATAAAAAGAAATAATCACACATAGAATCAATCAGTAATATTAATGGTATTATTGGCGACAACCATCGCTAGTAGTGTATAATGTATGCATTAAAATACTGTTAATCCATAGAGTGACGTGATCCTCATCTATAAAACTGTTGTCTGTTGTTTCCAGTTTATATTTTTTAAAATGCAAGTACTTTCGAATAATCCTTTATTCATCGTCAGGCATATGTTTTCCTTATAAAATCAAAAACTTGAAGACGAAATAATTGTTTGTCGACCGAAAGATGTTTTTTTGAGTATGTGCTATTATTGACGGTTGTGTGCAATATCGGAACGTGCAAAGACGCAACGCTAAGTTTTTCAAAATTTTAAGTGAGAATTTTATTTGAACTTTTCTTGTGATATGGTAAATCAACGTATTCTATTTTTACAAGTGTTTTCAGTTAATATGTCATGAACTAAGTATATAGTTCAATTAATATAGTGTTATGTCTTAGTAGTAGTTTTTTTATAGGAATTTTTTTGTACTACGGATCGATAGTTTTTTATAAACAGAAAACATTAGGCAGCATATAATTTATATACAAATAAATAATCACACATAGAATCAATCAGTAATATTAATGGTATTTTAATGACATCCATCGCTAGTATGGATAATGTATGCGTTCAAATACTATTAATCCATAGAATGGATGTCGCCAATCCTCATTTATAAAACTGATTGATTGTTGTTTCCATTTTTATTTGTATCAAATCATATGCTGCCTAATGTTTTATGTTTATATATATATATATATGACAATATTATTTTAAAGTATGTTATATTTATGGAGTGAAGTGCTCAGCCTCAGAGATGGAGCGTATGTAAATATAAAAGCGGACATTGAAGTCAACATCCAGATGCAGCAGTCTATAGCATGCGTATAAGCATAAAAGTCTATGACAAAGTAGAAAATATTTTCTTGCGGCGCGTTGGGACCTTTCTGATTTCATCAGACTAAATTTGGCAACAACATAAAAAATTTAGTCCAGTGAAGTCATAATAGACGCAACACGTCACAAGACG